GATGAATGGCAAAATTGTAATTATTTTCATCTGCTTCTCCGAGATATCCTTCTTTCCTCTGTAAATCAAGCGGCCGCCATAGATTTTTTCACATGATTTTCATTTTTTTTTCCTTTTTATCTTGCTTTTTACTCATTAAATCAATAGATCCATCAAATATAAATCTTTTTGCAACCCAAAAAGCATACAAAACCAAGTTTTTTTTATAGTTTCGAGTTAACGGCCGATTACATCAAAATCGCGGCGGTTCCGGGCCGCCGAGCGCTTAACCGCCGCCTAAGCGGCCGCCAAAACCGCGTTTATGAACAGGGAATATAACGCATGCTTAGGACACCACAATATTTTTTGTACTTAAATTTATGTTAAATTCAATGTAAGATTGGATTTACAACATTTGAGAGCTAAACTGCAACATTTTATTTATAATTACAAGATGAGGGATCATCATTTACAACAACATTTGAGAGCTAAACTACAGCATATAATTTAGTGGTCTCGTTACGTAATCGCCAAAATCTAATTCGGCATAATGGGTGTTGTTGAAAAAAAATTATTAAATGAAGGAACATCATTTACCTAGTTTCAAAAAATAAACATCATTTACCTTTTTGTGGAGAGATTGTAACTTACAAGTCCTAGTATCAAATATTATGTGAAAAAAGAGAGACTGTGAAAAAGCTTTCCAAAAAACTTCTTAATTAAATTAGAATAATAAAAACAAATTTGTTCATGGTGTATTTTAGTTAAAGAAAAGAAAAACTAGGTCTCAAGAACATTATTCTGGCCTTTTCGGTTTGATATTATTTGTTTCCTTATAGTCTGCTTCTCATGTCCCCCGGTCCACCTGACAATGCATAGATAAAAAAATAAAAATTCCAAATCCACGATTTTCTATTATATATTCAAAATTTTGGTATAAAAAAGGCATACATTTTCCACGCAAAAGAGGAAGCTTTTACTTATAATAAAAATAAAATAGAATACAGACACTCTATTATGGACGATAATGCATTTACACAAGTGACTGTTGAGTGATTCAAACAAATATAATTGCAATAAATGAAGTTTCAGTTTCCCTTACTTTTATTTATTTTTTTATTGGCCATTATAATTGTTCGAACCAAAGAGAGAGACCTATTCAAAAGGAGTTGCTTTCTTTACTCTCTCTCTCTATCTGCTGATCTCATCACTACTTACCATCTTTTACTCCATCAAAAATCTTCAACCAAACACATTCCAAAACCAAAATCCACTTTCCCCAATATTGAAACAAACAAAAACATCTTTATTGATCTCTTTCTCTGGTTCAGATTTTGAAACAAACAAGAGATGGTTTCTACACAATATTGGAGTAGAAGAGTGTCAAGAAACCCAAAATC